CCATTTTATACTTTTACAACATTACTCCCGGTCGTTGGATCAAACACTTACTGTATATAATAGACATTATTACCTATATATGTTTTTCAGAATGGATCTAAATAAAGATTTTTTTTTTTATGTCAAATCGAGGTATACCAAAGTAGGGCATGTACAAAACACAAGGGAGGGTGGTGGAGTGGGTTGGAAAGCACCAATCGAGGACCAAGGTTAGTTCGAGTGGGAGGGTTCTGGAAACTCCAGTAGAGATGACGGGAGTTGTACTTAAAAGCCCATAAACTTAAAAGCACAGTTTGTAATGCATGTACTGGACAATCAAAGACGAAAATAGAAAATCATAATCATAATCATTAATTTCATATATACTGTACTATTAAATTATGTCTTATATCTTACTTTGGCAGTTAGATCCTGTCCATGGAGGTGCACAAGTCGAGTCCTCGGCGTCAGTACATATTCCTGTGTATTGACTACATTTACCTTGTTTGCAATGACAAGACTGAGCACAATCTGCTCCAAATTTACCCGATGGACATGCTGCAAAAATATGGTAAGAATTCATAAAATCTTAGGTAATCTGCAATAATAAATAGGCCTACGATAAAGCGCGTGTCAACAAGATGACACAATTATTACCACCTATAACCTGTTGTTTATAGAAATTGACTCGTAGAGGCTTATAGTACTCTATACGTTGTTTAGGTTTTGCTTGTTCCTCGGCGGAATACACCTACGGTTTTAAAAACCATAATATAATACCTTATAACAAGCGTTGTTACCTGCATTACAGTTAAGCCCTTTGAAGCCTGTCACACAACTACATCCGTATGGATGAGGCAAACAGAACTGCTTGTTTTTGCATGCACCAACTCTAGCAGAATTTGATGTACACAAATTTTCACAATTCCATCCGAATATATTACCGCCACATTCTAAATGGATCAAGAAACAATTTTTGAAATACACTTAACAAAAGGCCATATATCAATGACAATGGAGACTTAACAGAAAGGAGAAGGGAATCTGTTATCATTAAAATAAACCTTTCACAACTGTAATATTACCAGTTTGGCAGGAGAACCCCATAAATCCAGGGGCACAAATACAAAGTCCTGTTTTGTCATCACATACGCCACCATTATAGCAGTAGTCACAGTCACCTGTACAATCAGGAGGGCCCCATTTGTGACGTGGACACGCTAAAAGAAGAACAAATCTTGTGATAGCCAGCATAATTTTAACATACAAATTCAAAATCGTTATAATCTTTTATTTATATTATACAAATGTGCAACAGTGCTACATACAAGTACGTAGGTTCTCTATAAAATTAGTAGCATAATTATGAAACCATGATACCCTGTCACACCCACCCTCCAATGCACACATCCACACACCCACACTCACCCATATATTGGTT